AAAAATTAAAACCCGTTCAAGACAAAGATTCTCAGGCATCTAGCGATTGAAGGAAACTTCCTCAATCTGATAGAGATGTGTGTGTCAGTGGCTCACTGGTGCCCCGCTCTTTGCGACCCCTTGGACTGTAGCCCAGTAGGCTCTGCCCATGGACTTCTCCAGGCAAGAGTACTGGAGAAGCCACTCTCTCCTCCAGGGGATCTTCCTGACTCAGAGATGCAGCCCGGGTGTGCTGCACTGCAGGCAGATTCTTTCCCAGCTGAGCCACCAAGGAAGCCATTTACTAAGACCGTCAGGTTATTGAGACACTGATGCTTTTTCCCACAGCTGGGAACGAGGCACCACCTCTTACCTCCACTACATTCAGTTTCATATGGGGGTCCCGCCCAGTGCAGGAAGATAAGAAGAAGGAATAGAAATAAGGAGGTAAAGTGTCCTGTCCCAGACAAGCTGATCATTTACACAGAAAATCCTAAGTTATTGACAACAACCACCACAACAATAGCTTCTTAGGACAAATGTGTGCATTTAACAAAGGCTCAGGTTGAAGGTCAATATTCAAAAATACAATTGAATTTCTACAAATTAGCAGCAACCAGTTGGAAAGTAAAATTTAAAAAATGTGTAAAAGCATCAAAACAGCATAAAGTACTTAGAAGTAAAGCTAACAAAAGACAAACAGCGTATGTCACGCTGAAATGACAAGACTTTGATGAGAGAAAATAGGGACTGCCTCAATAAATGAAGAGGCATGTACCATGTTCATGAGAGGCTGGAAGGCTCAGCACTGGTAAGCTGTCTCTCATCTCCAATTTGATTGTGTTTTCAACACAATCGCAGTCTTACACGGTAAGCACTTAGGTAGTTGATTCTAACATTGATACAGAAGACGAAGAAAGATAGACCAGCCCCAAGACTGCGAGAGAGCTTGTGATACTTGACATCGTGACTTACTGCAAAGTCCAGCAGTCAAGCAGTGTGGTTTTAGTCTGAGAATATAAAATTGACATTAGTAAACAGTGGAGTAAAATAGAGGGCCCAGAGTCCACCCTTATATGGCCGATTGGTTTTTAACCGACATCTAAAATGTTCACTGGTAAAAGTAAGTTTTTTTAAAAGACAAATATTACTGAAATGACTTGATGCCCATATGGGGGGCGGGAAAAAAAACTTGGGACTTCCCTAGTGGTCCAGTGGATACAAAATCTGCCTGCCAGTGCTGGGGACATGGGTTTGACCCCTGGTCTGGGATGATCCCACATGCCGCAGAGCAGCTAAGCCTGTGCGCCAGAACGAAGGAGCCTGGGTGTCTACAGCCCATACCCCGTAACGGGAGAAGTCGCCACAGTGAGAAACCCACGCACTGCAGCTGGAGAGTGGCCCCCGGCCGCCGCAACTAGAAAATCCTGTGCAGCAGTGAAGACCTTGCACGACCATAAACAAATAAATAAATAAGAAACTTGGCTTACCTTCCATCATAAACAAAACTTGAGGTGTGCCACGTGTATATAAAGTAAAGCTAAAACGATAAAGTGTCTAAAAGAAAACAGTGGAGAGTATCTCTCTAACCAGGAGGTAGGCAACAAGTTCTTGCATAGGACACAGAAAGCAATGTTCAGAGGGAAATTTTTGATTAGACTTCATTAAAAAAAAAAACCTTCCTGTTCATTAAAAATCGATTTTGGAAAGAGAATGAGCGGATCTATACTGGGAGAAAGTATTCTCAACATGCATGGGTGACATAGCACTTGTACCAAGAATATAATGCTTATTCTCAACAACAAAATATAAACACCTTATTTTTAAAAATAGGCAAAAGACTTGACCAGTCAGTTCACCAAGGGAGATGCCCACTGGTCCAATGAGCCCATAAAGAAGCGCTCAGCACTGTAGTTGTGAGGGAGGTGCAGAGAGACATCATGAGGGTGCAACTGAAGAGGATGGCTACATCTGAAAAAGTGCAACCGCAATTCCAGCTTGATTCCGGTCGATCTATAAAGCAGTGAAACCACTTTGGAATGGTGTTCGGCAGTTTCTTATAAAGTTAAGCACATGCCCTTAGACTCCAGTAATTGCCATCATGTTTTTACATAAAAAATAAAAACAACAAACCAATGAAATAAAAAAAGAAAATATACGTCCCAAATAGTTGCATCCTTGTGTTCACAGAACCTTTACTCACAATTGTACAAAACTGGAGAAAACTCCAATGGCCACCAGTGGGTGAAAGGACACACTGTGGCAGAGCCGCCCAGTGGATGCCACCAGCCAGCAAAGAGGGGTAAGCAGTGGCCGAATCAGCCAGGTGGGTGACTCTCGTGGACATGAAGCTGAAAAAAGAAGCCCGACCTCTCCCCCACAGCATGCTTTAAATGTATGGCTCCATTTATGCGATGTTTGAATCCCAGCTATACTGATCAATGGTGAGATACATCCGAACGGTGATTGCTCCTGGGAGGTGGAATAGGAGGCCACCTTCTGACAAGCTGGGGATGCTCTTTAGGGGGATAGGGTGTGGGCTTCACAGGTGATTCAATTTGTCACAATGATTCAGTTAAGATTTGTGCATTTCAGTGTGTTTAAGTTTATCCCCCCAAAGAAAAATATAAGAATGTAAAAATATAAGGATGGTAAGAGTTGACTGGGACCTTGAGATCCCAGTGGAAGATAGTGAAATGAAAATGGCAGGATGTTGGTAATCATTGAACTGGGTCTTGAGAGTTCGATGTGTACGGTCCGATGTAAGTGTCTATAATGGTCCAGGTGGGAGGTGGTGATGCCTCTGGCTGTCCTGGCTCCTGTTCAGTCTTGATCACTACCCATCTCAGTGGCAGTGTGAAGGCAGGGGTTAAGAACTGTCCAGAGAGATCCCAGTGTGTGGGATTACAGCCTGCATCTGCACCTGTGGGGAGCTAACGGAGAAGGCCTCCTTGGGAGGCGAGGCAGCTCTCAGCCCCCTGGCGGGGGCCCGTGAGCCCCTGTGATTTCTGCTCACCCCCAGCCCTGGGCCAGCCCACGGAGAGCATCTCCAGTGACCTCCCACGCAGGTCTGGGCATCCGTGCTATGTGGAAAGGTAGATAGAGATCCATGTGTGGGGGCTTCCTGGAGCCGGTGGGATTTTAGCAGCTTCCTTCCCGCCACCCTCATGTTCAATCCATGTAAACGAAATGAAACAAGCCCAGAGCTGGTGGCTTCCTGGGCAGCAGCACTGGCGTCTGTGCCCAGAGGGCCGGGGCGTGACCCGTGGATGTGGCGTCTACGGAAGCATTGTCAGGTTTGGTCTGAGCAGTAGGGCGGCCGTGTGCGGTCATCACTGCACGTGGGCCTAGAGCAAAGCCAGTTGCTGAGAAAGGGGCTATTTGCTCTGTTGTCTTTAAAATTGTTTTTATTAAAATATGGGTGATTTACAATGTTGTGGCCGATTCAGGTATACAGCACAGTGATTCAGTTATACATGTATACTCCTCTTTTGCATTCTCTTCCATTATCAGTTATTTCATGTTACTGAGTATAGCTCCACATGCTGTGCGGTAGGTCCTTCTTGGTCATCTGTGCCCCACTGTCTTCTGATTTCTAAATCCGACGGGTGCTGACAGTCAGAGAGGCAATACTACATAATAGGAGGAATCCCAAGTCCAAAGTTCGGAAAATTGTGTTGGAGTCCCACCCCACTACTTGTTAGCTAGTTGCTGGTTCTCTTCTGTTTTTGTACTTACTGATACCATCTTAGGGGCTTCCCAGGTGGCGCTAGCGGTAAGGAACCTGCCTGCCAATGAAGGAGATGTAAGAGACATGGCTTCAGTCCCTGGGTTGGGAAGATCACCTGCAGGAGGGCATGGCATCCCACTCCAGTATTCGTGCCTGGAGAATCCCATGGACAGAAGAGCCTAGCGGGCTATGGTCCACAGGGTTGCAAAGAGTTGGACATGACTGAAGCAACTTATGCACGATACCATCTTAACTCCAATAGCTAAATTTAAGTGGTTTGTTAAGTTGAATCTTTCTGTTCATTGGAGTAATTGTTGCATATCTGTTTGGCAACTGAACAGCTTGCAAGGTGTTTCAATAATTGTTTTTGAAAACACTTTATTGGCTAGAAAGTTAAGATGGTAGGTGTACCTGGACACCACACTCGGGTGGATCTTTGGATATGTTGTGTCTGCACAAATCCAGGTTTCAGAGGCGTTCAGACGGTTGACACTCGTCGTTCTGACTTCCTGGGTCTCTGCTGTGGTTTGTCTCCACTTGGCCTGTGCAGTCCACCATTCTCACCTACGTTCTGTTCTTTCTTAAATGCCGGGTTCAGACTCTGCCCGCTCTGTGCAGACCTCACTGATGATGTGGTGAAAAGTAAATCATAATTCTAGATGTAGTAAAACGACAGTAATGCTGTAACATCAAGTCAACGTGCTCTTTTCCTCTGCTGTCCCTCTCTGCGCCGTCTCCCCAGTCCTTCCCGGGTTGTGCACCTTTGTGATTGGAGGACTGAGACTGTCCCAGCAGGACAGGAAAGAGAAGAAGGACCTTGATTGTCAACTGGAGACATGCCAAATGGGATTTTTATCATGTCAAAGTCATCATGAATTCCAGGCTTTGTCAAGAAAGGACACCTTTTCTGAGGTCCCTTATTCCCACTGTCCTGCTGAGGGTGAGGTCCGTGGGGCAGCGCTCGTGTCCGGGCAGAGGAGGCCCAGGGTGTGAGGTTCTGGAAGTGAACAGCAGCTCCTCTGACCCCGTGGGAAGATGGGAGAACGGGGGTGATGGAGACAGCAGACAGAAGGTGTCCGATCCCAACTAGTCCCCACAGAGCTAAGATCCCAGAAGGCTGCTGTTTGGAGGGAAAGCAAAACCAGCTGTGTCCACTGCTCCCCCATGTGGAGCCTGGCTCCACAGCCCAGGTGGGTTCTGCCGAGGGCGTGCGGAGCTGTGGGCTGGGCCGGAGGGTGGGCAGAGGCCTGGGCTTGGGACAGAGAGGAACTGTTTGCCCGGGGCTCCATACCTGGGGCCCCGGATGGCCCTGGTCGTAGTGCAGGTCAGCAGTGACCAGCCGGGAGCCCAGCTGGAGCACCCGCAGCTCGGGGTGGTCTGGAGACCCTGGAGGCCCTGCGAGCAGCCTCCTTTCGGCCTCGTTGCCACTGGGTCGCCGAGGCCCAGACACCTGGGTAGGAAGGGTCACCCCGGGAGACGTGAAGATGGCCCAGGCCGGGGACGTCTGGGCTGCTTTCATCTGCCGTGCCCCCACCCCCAGCCCTCCCCGACCAGTGCCCTGGCGCCCCCACTCCCTGGATGGGCAGCTTCACTGGAGCAAAGAACTGGAGCCTGACGTGTCGCTGCGTCCAGCCCGACTCCCTGGGATTCAGTCTGTGTGTGAGGGGCCCGTGTTTCGCCTTTTCTTTGTCACGAGATGTCATCCTGCGCTGTATCGGGAGGGAGTGCACAGCGCCCACCAGAAGACGGTCTCGTCGCCCCACGGCGCCCTGCGGGGCCTGCAGGCCTCTCAGGGGGCTGTGTTTCCTTATGTCTCGTCGGCCCGCCCCAGAAACCCCCGTAAAGCCACACGGGTAAACGCCCAGTGATGCAGCAGCTGACGGGCGCGCCGTGCAGCGGGCCAGGCCCTCTGTGACTGGGCAGCCCGAGACCTCACCCCGGCCTGGGCTGGCTCCGCGTCTCCCGGGGGTGAAGCTCACCGAGGCCTCTCCTGCCGGGCCCCCGGCTCTCTCAGCAGCACAGCCAGCACTCCACGCCTGGCCGCTGTTTCTGTCTTACACTGTTCGCTGTTTAATGAAGGAACAGTCATTTGTGTTTCGCAGCGCTGACCTTCCATGTGTTTCTCCTCATTTTCACGAAGTCGCTGACTTACTGAAAATTTCCAAGTGCCTTGTCTGCAAAGTATATCTCTGGGTCATATTTTTAGATGCAAAATACGTCTCTGAAGCAAAAACAACCTCACAGACATAGAGAGCAGACCAGTGGTGGCCCCGGGGGATGGGCAGGTGTGGGGGAGGGAAGGACAGGAGGTGCAGATTATGTAAGGAACGGATAAACCACAGGGTCCTCCTGTAAGCACAGGGAGCTGTCTTTGATATCCTGGGATAAATCGTAATGGAAAAGAATATGGAAAATAATGCATATATATGTATAACTGAGCTACTTTGCAGTGCATTGGAAATTAAGCATACCATTGTAAATCAACTGTATGTCAATGACATTTAAAACTAAGAACTAAAACGAACTAATAAAATTTAAAACTAACTAAAAATTTAAAACGGTGTGTCAACAAAATTTAAAATTTAAAACTAACTTAAACAAGTCAGAAAAAAAAAACCCAAATCTAGCCCTGAAACAAACTGAGCTCACAGAGTTGGATAACGTCTGAAAGGGAGAGACTGCCTCGGTGAACTAGCCTGCGTGTCCGTCGGCTGGAAGAGCCTCGGGGCTTCATCATGCTCACCCTTCTCGCTGGAAAGTGGACCATCACATCCAGAGATGAGTGCGTTCCTGCCTGGGAAGCGGCAGCCGTTTCTGAGAGGCGTTTCTGCAATTAAGGAATCAGACAAGCATGAGTGGGGCCCTTTCAGAGGTTCCAGGTACAATTAGAAGACACCTAATCGCTCATCACTCTCCCTTGATTAAAGCCATTGTCGCTCTGCCCTTGCTTGCCCGGGTGAGGAACAGGTGCTGGGCCCAGATGCAGCCGCCGGCTCCCCGCCGAGGCCGCTCGCCGAGCCCGCGCTCACCGCCAAGCGGCGGGAAGCAGCTGCCGGCCTGCGACTGCACCCCGGCGGCCTCCTTCCCGGGACCTGCAGGAGACCCGTGCCCACCTCCCATGTCACTCACCCAGCCCTGCCTGCAGGTCCACACTCGTGCCAAGCCGGTTGAAACCCACCACGTCGCCCCTTTTAAGTTACGGCCCTTCAGAAAAGGAGGAAAAAAAATCTGAGATGGGTTCACTGGGACCAAAATGGTCCTTTTCAAAATGAATTTGCAGCTGTGCCCAGCTGACGATGGATTTATCGCATCAGCCCAGGATCGGTGAGCGCCGTGCCCTGGGCAGAGCCGGACAAGCCCTTGCCTGCCGCGCTCTCATGGCAGAGCTTCTATCAAAGCCCCATAAGCTCCGTCACCAACCACAAATGAGGCGCTGTGTTTTACACGCTGCCTCCGTCCTTGTTTTTCCACCTGTTAAAATGAAAGATTCTTGGAATATCATAATATGTAAAATTTGTTTATGATGCAAATAGAGAGATGCCTTTTCATCTCTTCCCGGCTTTGATGTCGTGATACGAAGTTTCTACCGCCCCGCCTCCCAGCCTCACCCGGGAGATGCTATCTCCTCCTCAAACCTGTGCGCCCAGCATAGGACGTGGGAACCAATTACGAGCTGGTTCTGCTTTCAGTACTTTTTATGAGGAATTTGTCCACTTCTGAATTAACAGAAAGATGAGAGGAGTTTGCTGATACACTTTTCTTGAAGGTTTAGAGTTACATCTCGAGTCAAGTAAGGGAGGCTGGTTAAGGTGGGAGAATAAAAGAACTCAGAGTTTATTTACTCCTCAAACTTGAGGTAAGTCAAGCCCTCAGTAATCTGGTAATAAATACCTGCTTCGACAGTCTTCCCCTGCCCACATCGGCATCTCTGCACATGGAGATGTGAGCTTCTTTCTCTCCGGTTTGGATGAGACAGATATTTCTCATGTTAATAAATATTTGATTAAGAAGCCCAGTTTTTCCAGAAAGAGACTCATAGACTTAGAAAAATGAACTTGTGGTTGCCGGGGGAAAAGGATGGTTAGAGACTTTGGAAAGGTCATGTACATGTTGCTATCTTTAAAATGGATAACCAGCAAGGACCTACGGCACAGCCCATGGAACTCTGTTCTAGGTCATGTGACAGCCAGGATGGGAGAGGGGTTTGGGGGAGAATGGATACATATATATGTATGGCTGAGTCCCTTCGCTGTCCATCTGAAACTACCCGAACATCATTAATCAGCGGCACCACAGTACAAAGTAAAAAGTTTAAAGTTAAAAGAAAGAAGCCCAGTTTTTCTCTCTACCACAGTCTTGGGCTTTAACTTTGGTTAGAATCTCCCCAGATTTTAAAAATGTGGATATCTGGACTCCAACCCAGTTCACCTAAGTGGAAAAAAAGTAATCTCTCAGGCCTGGGCGTGGCCTTTTCTAAGGGTTCCAGGTCATCCTAATGTATGGCCAGGACAGATTCACTGAGTTACACAAGGTTTTAATATGATTTTATTCATTTAAAAGCATGCTCTTATTCAAATACTTCTGAGCATGTAAGCATAAAGAAACCTAAGTTTCCCAAGCTAGAAAAGTTGGAAACAGTAGTTCATACATTTGTTTTTGTATACTGGAGAGTCGTGGAATAAGCAACTGAAAGTTGCATGAAAGCTCTATGCATAAACTAAAAGTTAACTGCTTCGGTCTCTGTTGAAATGGCTGGTAACACATATGACCAAAACCAGGATTTTTAAAGAGACAATATTACAAGACAGAATTCCGAGACTGGGAAAGACCCCTAAGGTTCAAACTCCCAGGAAATCTGCTCTCAAACTTTCTTCTCATTCATTTTAAAATCTAGAAATAGTACTCTCTTTAAATGATTGTTTTTGCAGAATTATGATAACCAGGAAGTTCATGTAACTAGTTAAAGCCTCAGTTATTGAAAATAACTGATACTGGAACATCTAAACTGGCATCTCATGGGTATTGGTGCCAGGAGAGATGTAAGCCTCTCCTTGAAACTTACTGTATTTGAGGGACCACAGACTTTCCCTCTGGGCTTCCCAGGTGATGGTGCTAATGGTAAAGAACCTGCCTGCCAATGGAAGAGATGAAAGAGTTGTGGATTCAGTCCCTGGTTGGGGAAGATCCCCTGGAGGAGGACATGGCAACCCACTCCAGTATTCTTGCCTGGAGAATCCCACGGACAGAGGAGCCTGGTGGGCCGCAGTCCGTGGGGTCACAAAGAGTCGGACAGGACTGAGCGACTGAGGACACAGATTTTCTCTCCAGACTGATGCCCTATGCACATACTGCAACAGACACAAGTGGAGTCCTTTAGATGATTTTCCAATGATGCAGTTACATGGTTGGGTATAATTCTGGTGCCGAGCATATCTTATTTTGTAAAAGTATTCTCATTTTGTAAAAGCTGGTCTTCTGCATATATATGTTCTTTTTTTTTTTTTTTACTGACCAGAATGTTTAATTAATTAGAGCACCCATCTTGCCATCCTCCTGCATAATGAGAGTTTACTGTACAGCTATTTTTGGCCGCCTGAGAGCGTGGAAAGCTGTCGGCAGTGCTGAGTACCTGGGTCCGCTGATTGTAGACGTGAGCAGCGCACAATACCCCATCAGCGGTGATGGGGGCAGACATGCTAATTGGCCCACTTGAAGGCTCGGGCTCCCCGACGAGGGCTGTCGTTCAAGGCTCAAGTTCCATTAATCAGCGGGCGCTCGTCGAGCCCCTGCTGTGCGCCTTGCCCGCAGTTGGAGACGAGGGGTGCGAGGCAGAAATCAGGGCCCATGCGGCCCGAGCAGCTTTTGATTCAGCCAGGAGGAAAGACTCCCAGTAAAAAAAAAAACAAAAACAAAAACCTTACACTTACGAAAATGATCACAGTGTATGCTCATGAAAGGACGTGATCTCTTGCCTAGGCTGGCAAGATGGATAAAAGAAGAAGACACGACTGCCTGCCCCGGATGGGGGAGACGACGTGCAGAGCCAGTCAGAGTGGCTGCTGACCCAGATAGGGAGACGGGCCATCAGGGGTGGCGCCCGGAAAGTCTCTCGGGGAAAAGGGGCTGCAGGGACCTGCTCTCGGGCTCCTGAGAAGACAGATGAGGGGCTTCAGGCTCCTGTCCTGTGGAGGTTTGTGTTTCCTGTTTTCCCCGAGACTTTGCTCCAGGAATGGGGGATCGCTGAGTTAGGAAACGGGCCTTTCAGCCCGGGGAGATGTGGGCCCCGAAGTCAGACACCAGGGTCGGGGTCTGAGGCACAGCCCGAGGGAACCAGCTGCTCCCGCTGGGGGAGCTGACTGCTTCGTGGAAGACCGACTGCTGGGAGACCCCGTCACATTTCACATGCACCGGTTTATGTTTTTGTCCATTTACAGGTCCCACTAAAGTCAAAATCATGTCCTTTGTTCTGTTTATGCTCTCAGCATCTGAGATCCATTTGTTTGACCCCTAGGTGGGCCTGCAATGCTGGATACCCGAGTTTGGTCCCTGGGTTGGGAAGATCCCCTGGAGGAGGAAATGCCAACCCACTCCAGTATTCTTGCCTGGAGAATCCCGTGGACAGAGGAGCCTGGTGGGCTGCAGTCCATGGGGTCGCAGAGTCAGACACGACTGAGCGATTGACATGGTCATCTCACTTTGGGGCAGACAGCGTGCTGTGAGTGAACATGGATGGGGTGTCAGAGCCAGGCACCATGGGGGCACGTGGGCGCCCCGGGCTCCTCCCCCAGGCTCGTACCTGACTGCCATCATGACCCAGAAGCTTCACGAAGCCTGAGGCCTGGCCAGACTCGGGCGGGCAGAGGAGGTGGCGGGCACCTTGTGCAGCCGTCCCTTGTTGACCTCTGTGAGGTCGGCTGTCTAGAGGTGCATCTGTGCGGCACACAGGGGGCTTCGAGCAGTCCGCATCTGCAGTGGTGTGTGTGGGGGTGCCCTTCAAGATTTTGTGGGGAGAAGGGGACTGGGGCAAGCCTGGGGAAGGGGCCTGGGACCCCGGCCCACGCACTGCATTCCATTGGTGTTGACTCTCGTGACATATTCTGGGTACAACTTTGCACTAAAGCGGTAAGAGCTGAACTCAACCTAATGGCAGGTTTTAAAAAGATCAAGAGAAAGGTAACACGAGGCCAAACCCATTTCAAATAACACTGGATAGTCCACTTGGGAACGGCCATGGGAGGAAGGGATTCTGCCAAAAAGGGCCTCGCCAGCTCCATGAAGGCCCCTCGTTTTTAAATTCAGCATCACGACGCGCGACGTCACTGCTTCTTCTGTTTCATCCCCACTTATCCCTGCTCCTTGGGCTCGGCTCACATACTTTTGATTTGATTTACAAATTCGCTGTTGGATTTTAGAGGCATTACGGAACCCATGCTGCTGCCAAAACCCCCATCATAACCTTCTCCGTCAGGCTTTCTGGTGTCAGTTCAGCTGTCTCCTGTCATCTTATACTCCTGTTGGGGCAGCACCTGAGCTTCCACCAGTCTGGTCACTGCAGCAGGAGAGACTCCAGTCAGACCCACACAGCACAGGCAGCCCTTTCGTTTTCCATGCACTGTGTCCCTGAGAACCTATCAAGGTGTAGGGCAGTCCAGAGAGAAATGGGCAGCTCTCACGGATGGTTTAGAATTTTGCATGTGATTTTGTTTGTCTTATTTTGTCCATTTAGGCAAACTACTGAGTGTCATGTGGAGGAACATCAAATAAACGTGAGAAAGACTTAGCGAGTGTTGAATCAAAAGTAAAAGTGTAGCTGAAACTAGGTACTGCTTCCGACGTGATGTAAGGTAGCAGGAGGTGTTAGAAACGCTTGCGTCCTCTCGGGCTCCACTGGGGACAGGTGGGCTTCCGTAATGTAGGATACTCAATCTGTTCGCCTACACTAGACTTTGTGTCTGTAAACATCTTTTGACTTGTTTCCTGGCTTTGGGGAGAGAGGGGCTCCAATGGAGAACATCATCTCACCTGAGAGATCAAAGTCTCCCTATTTGGAAACCTTTTGCTACAGTTTGCAAAGAGATGTTCAGAAAGGTTACACTCAGATTCCCAGCATGTGACACTGTTTCCCCGAACACCTGACAAACGTAGGTTTTCATCTTTGCCGGCTTGATAGGGAAAATGCAGCCTTGTATTTTTTGTCTCTGAATTACCTGTCTCATACCATTATATTGGGTATTAGATGGGAGCGTCTGGTCCCATCACTTCATGGCAAATAGAAGGGGAAAAAGTGGAAGCAGTGACAGACTTTACTTTCTTGGGCTCCAAAATCACTGTGGATGGTGGCTGCAGCCACGAAATTAAAAGGTCCTTGCTCCTGGAAAGGAGAGTTATGACAATCCATTGTGGTTCAGTCGCTCAGTCGTGTCCGACTCTGCAACCCCATGGACTGCAGCACGCCTGGCTTCCCTGTCCTTCACTATCTCCCGGAGCTTGCTCAAACTCATGTCCATGACAAACTCAGCATATTAAAAACTAGAGATTATCACTTTGCCAACAAATGTCCGTATGGTCAAAACTATGGATTTTCTACTAGTCATGAACAGATGTGAGAGTTGGACCATAAAGAAGGCTGAGCGCCAAAGAATTGAGGCTTTTGAACTCTGGTGCTGGAGAAGACTCTTGAGAGTCCCTTGGACTGCAAGGAGATCACACCGGTCCATCCTAAAGGAGATCAGTCCTGAATATTCATTGGAAGGACTGATGCTGAAGCTGAAGCCCCAGTACTTTGTCCACTTGATGCCAAGAGCCAACTCACTGGAAAAGACCCTGATGCTGGGAAAGACTGAGGGAAGGAGGAGAAGGGCACGACAGAGGACGAGATGGCTGGATGGCATCACCGACTCGATGGACATGGGTTTGAGCAAACTCTGGAGATGGCCTGGTGAGAAGCACAGAGAAGCACAGAGAATCCTGGTGAGCTGCAATCCATGGAGTTGCAAAGAATCGGACATGACTTAGTGACTGAACATTATATCTCTTTTTGTTAAGTATTTCTTTGTGCCAGTTGCCACTTTGACCATAGTTTTCTTAATTTTCCTATTGATTGTAGTTGCAAATATTTTAAAATGTTGACAATTTTCCTATTATTGAATTTATGATGTCTCAATTTGCAGAAGTTGTCAGTTGTCTTGTAATAGCATCTACCAAGGTTTTCCCTTACTTTGTCTTATCTTGCTGCTCTGCTAATATGAGTTAGCTTTACCTTAGGGTTAAAAACAGGTTTAAAGAATATGGTTTCTTTTAGTTTATTTTTAATTAATTAATTAAAATTAATTATAGTATTAATTAAATAAACTATAATTTATAGCTATATAAATTATAGCTATATAATTTAAATATAGTTTAAATTATAATTAATTATAATTGATTAATTATATCAATTATTTTAGCTTGTTCTTTCTGGTTTATTTTTCTTTTAGTTTATTTATGGGCTTCCCTGTGAGGAAAGCTGAGCACCGAAAAATTGATGCTTTTGAACTGTGGTGTTGGAGAAGACTCTTGAGAGTCCCTTGGACTGCAAGGAGATCCAACCGGTCCATCCTAAAGGAGATCAGTCCTGGGTGTTCACTGGAAGGACTGATGCTGAAGCTGAAACTCCAACACTTTGGCCATCTCATGCGAAGAGTTGACTCATTGGAAAAGACCCTGGTGCTTGGAGGGATTGGGGGCAGGAGGAGAAGGGGATGACAGAGGATGAGATGGCTGGATGGCATCACCGACTCGATGGACATGAGTTTGAGTAAACTCCGGGAGTTGGTGATGGACAGGGAGGACTGGCGTGCTGCGATTCATGGGGTCACAAAGAGTCAGACACAACTGAGCGACTGAACTGAACTGAACTGGTTGCTCAGCTAGTAAAGAATCCGCCTGCAATACAGGAGACCCGGGTTCAATTCCTGGGTTGGGAAGATCCCCTGGAGAAGGGATAGGCTGTCCACTCCAGTACTCTTGGGCTTCTCTGGTGGCTCAGCTGGTAAGGAATCCGCCTGCGATGCGGGAGACCTGGGTTCGATCCCTGGGTTGGGAAGATCCCCTGGAGAAGGAAATGGTTACCCACTCCAGGATTCTGGCATGGAGAATCCCATGGACTCTATAGTCTGTCGGTTCCCAAAGAGTCGGACACGACTGAGCGATCTTCACTTTTACTTTTTAGTTTCTTTAGTATCTTATAGTTTATTTTATTTTTATGCATAGGTTAGTGTATTTGTTTCCAAATAGTTCATGAGCTTTCTCCAGACCATCTTTAAACCCCCCTCCTCCTGGGTATTTTGGACACCATCCCATCAGAGCCTAAGTCTTATTCCTATGAGGACTGCACTGCCCAGAGCATGCTCTTCAGGCCATGGTTATGAGAGGTTTTAAGAGACGTGATGTCTGTAAAAACATGCTCGCTCCGCTGGCTTTGGGAAGCTTGGGTTGGTCGACGCTCACCAGAGTTCCCCACTGTTGGCGTTCTCGGAGCCTGTCCGGTGCTCAGCATCACGGAGGACGGCGCCACCGAGAACGCCCTGACCCTCCTGTGCCCGGGCTCAGCTCTCAGGGCTCTTGTGTGTGAGCTGTGCCATCTGCCGCGCTGTGAGGTCGGCGCCGCTGTTACCCCGAGTGACAGAGCAGAATCTGCGTCCCTGGCTTCCGGACGGCAGCGGCATTCTGAACCATCTTAGTGCCCAGACCCGCGCCCACGTGTGTTCCTGGGCAGGCTTCCGGTGGCTCCTGCAGACTGCATCGGTTCTCCCCGCCGGCCCCCTTCTTGCGTTGTCACACTGCGTTCTTTTAAGCTCTGGTCATGGAAGGTTTACCTTAAAATTCTCAGTTGCATTAATTCTTTTCGCCAGATTATTCTTTCATATAGAAGTTAGGCTCATTTTTCTAATTATACAAACAGCAATCAAGCAAACAAATAAAACCCTTTAATATTGTGAATAGAATGGCAAGAGGCTCATAAGTTAATTTGAGGAAGGTTGACAGTATTAGTCCTCAGTTTAGCGAATGTGATAGAAATGCTGCATCTGTCCATTTCTGTAAGTCTTCTGTCTCTCAATTAGGCTTTAAAATTTTCTTCATATGGATCTGACACATTCCCCAAGATGTTGTATATTTCTAGATATTTCTGATTTTGTCGTACTTTTTTTTGTTAAGTTTGACCTTTTTTTCCATTTTATTTTTTCAGAGTACAGAAAACAAAGAAGCAACAAGGGGTCATAAAATGCAAATTATAAATATAATGAGAGAAGTAAAATATCAGTTATAACAATAAATACAAGTGGATTAAAATTCTGAATGAAAAGTCAAGATGTTTTATCCTGGTTCAGAAAGGAAAACCACATGCTCAATGAGAAACACAGACCTAAACAAAAAGTTGGAAGGGGTTAGGCCAAAACACATCAGGAAAACAGAGAGGAAAGGCAAGATGTTAATATTGAAACATCATTAAAAGTGAAAATCACTGTGTGATATTAAAGTTTGTCCCATATTTACAAAAGTGAAATAAACTATACTGTGTTAGTAATCATTCATCTTTAATGCCCAATAAAATAGTGAAGGATATATAATAAATATGATTATAAGTAGAAAGAGTAGAAATTTTCTTTGTTATTTGTAACAAGCTTTCCTGTTTTACTTTTTGTGGTTAGTTCTGCCATCTCCATGTAATTAATTTATATGCATAGTGTGAAGTAATAATCAAGGCTCTTAAAGATATATCTGAGTGTCCTGAACTCTTTTATTAGGAAGCGTAACTTCTCACTTTTTAGCAGAACGTTTGTTTTATGCAAAGTGACTGTAAATGTTGGGATCTGTTTCTGGCTGTCATTTCTGGTCTGATCATTAATTTGTTTATCGTTCCATCAATACCATACCATTAGTTACCATACCTTTAAACGATCTTACATTTAGTAGAGCATGTCTCCAGTCTTCAAAGTGTTTTGGCTGTTCTTTGCTCTTTGAATCTTCATGAAATTTTAGGATCAGCTTGCCAAGTTTCTAAATAAAAAAATAGTCTCCTGGGTTTTGGTTAGGATTGCATTTACTATACAAATCAATTTTGGTGAATGAGTATATTTACCATATATAGTGTTCCAATCCACGAATACTTATATGCTTCCACTTAGTCATCCTCTTACTTACAATAATATTCTATATTCTTCTGCAGAGAGGCCTTGCGTATCTCCCGTAAGATTCATTCACAGCTTACAGATATTGTTTGATGCTGTTGTAGATGGTGTCTGTGTATACTTCCCTAGAGTAGAGCCTGCGGCAAGAATGCAAGCGCGGGCAGTTTCGTTAGAAGGCAGGTCCAGGACTCAGGCCACAGGAGTGGGCCAGGGGGGAGACGAGAGCCCCCAGAGCGGGTGTTAGTGGATGGCGAGGACCCAGTCTCACGGAAGACGGAGGGGAGGGGGCCTGGGCTGTGCCCACCGGAGGACAGGCTGGGGCATCTGCCAGCAGCCCTGGTCCTCTGGGGGCCCAGGTTGCCCCGGGTGCAGCTGCTGCAGGGCCTCTGAGTGTCTTTGTGCACAGGCGGCAGGGACCGCAGCGCCAGCCTGGGGCCCGGGCTGTGCGTGGAGCTGTCCACCGCGGCTGTGCTGAAATCGGGCCGGCCCGAAGCCGCAGCCGGGCGCACCGCAGAATCTCCTGCATTAGTATTTTCAAAAAATGTTCCGTTGGCTCTTGGTCTCAATCTCATAAGCCTCCTCAATTGACTTACTAATTCTAATAATTTATCTATTGAGTCTCTAGGACTTTATTCTTAGAAAGTTGCATCATCTGTGAATAAAGACAGTTTTATTTCTTGTGTACCGATACTTATGCCTTTTATTTCTTTTTAGTGAAGTACCCGTGCCTTCCAGGGAAAGGCAGAGCAGAAGCGATGTGCACAAGGAGCACCCCTACCTCGCAGAGAAACTTTAAGATGTCACAGTTAAGGTGGGAGGTTTGGTGTAGACTTCTTGAAGATACCTTTCATCAGGTTGAAAACATTCTCTTCTGCTCATAGTTTCCTAGAAGCTTGGATTACAAGTGGATGTTGAACTTGACCATTTTTAATTCTGTAGAGATGCTTTTTCTTGTTTCTTATATTTTGTGGTGAATTACCTTGGAACACACTGTGATTCAGTTATTACTGAAAGATCTTTATGAGAAATGGCATGGGTAGAGAAATCAGATATTTTGTTCACCCATCCACTGTACAATAACATGAGTTTGAGCATGCTCCAGGAGTTGGTGATGGTCAGGGAAGCCCAGCATGATGTAGTCCACGGGGTCGCAAAGAGTCAGATGCGACTGAGTGACTGAACTGAACTGAATATTAAAGAATGGTAAGAACAGTTGTTTTAAGGCGAGGTTCTTAGTTTTAATGTTATTTTTCTTCTTGATTAATTTATGGATTTCTCATAGACCTCTGGTGAAGCCACTGGGACCCTTCACAGAATAAAATTTCTTGGTGCATAACATAAAATGTGCAGGATTTCAAGAGAAACAAATTATGTTGAAATCTGTTGTCTCAAAAGAAACAGATATGTTGTAAAAATATGAAACTAATTGGTGGTATAGTGATATATGTACTTTCAGAGCATCATATTAAATTACCAGACCTGGTGACAGGTTTTGTAATCACTATCATTTTAAAGTAGTTCTGAGCCTCAGTAGTATTTGAGAAATCTCCGACAATGTTTACAAGATGTGAATTTTTCTATGATTTCACTGGTAGTCTGTTTGATTGCCTAAGAGGTTAGTAAAACTGAAGATGTAATTTCCGTCTAAGTGTGTATGCCCTTGAACTCTCTCTGTGAACCCTATGGGGTTTTTAGTCCTGGGTGAAGAATTTGTGCCCTAGGGTGCCGACCCCGCCTGAGGGGGGCCCGGCCATGGGTGACCTGTGCTGGGACGCTTCCTCCTGAAAGACCTCACGCACACTCCCCCTGCCATTCTCCATCCGCAGACGTGTTCCCATGCCTCCACACGGCAGGTGCGTTTTGCCCGTGCAGGCTGACTTACGGATCTGCTGCCCATCTCCCTTCCGGACGCTAAGCCTCTCGAGGCTGTTGCATTGCTCAGCTGGCCTGCATGGGAGGTGGTCGTCAATGTGTGTTAGAAGAGTACAGATAGCTCCTTCCTGAGTGCATTTAGCCACTGAGGCTGTTGCAGGAGGAAACCTGGTAAACGTCACTGAGAGATGGTTGCCCACCATATCATCTGCCCCCATGGTCTGGTCAAGGCCAGAGCAAGCACTTCTCCATCTCAGGGCCTGGAGGAGCCAGGCACACTGCATCTCGTTTGCCGCCACTGTGCCTTCACTCTGACCCGGGAACTGTGACCACTGTTGCCTGTTCACTTCATCTGCTCGAGAACTTAGATCCGGACTGTGGCCCCATCAGGGCCCACGCGGGGATTGAGCGTGTGCCGAATGTCGCAGGGTGACCCCTTCAATCCTCCTTATGCTTCCATCTAACCACAGCACTCACTGCAAAAAAATTGTTATTGCAGTGTGCTTACTTCTAAAAGCAGCATCTAAGCATTTGTTTTTAAGGAACGTGTGTTTCCTGTGTCTTACCGGAGTGGAGAGCAGGGGAACAGACAGGTGGGTCCAGCCTGGCGGGGCCAGATGCTCCCCGGGGCGCTCTGTGCCCACCCTGGTGACAGCAGGTGGATGTGTGGCTGCCTGGCCCACACTGGGGGAGGCAGGACTGCCCCTCCCTCTGGCTGCATGGAGCCCAGCGCTTTGTCTTTCGGGAGCACGAGTCCGAGGTGGGCTGGGCGGGTACCCCCGGGATGAAAGCTGTTCCTCGTGCGGGCCGATCAGTAAAACACACCCCAGGTTTTTAGGGAAGGTGGGGCAGGGTCCACTAAGCTGCTTGCTGTCCCGACGGTAGGCTGACTTTTGTGTCTGGCTGTGAACTCGTTCTTGGCAATCCCTGCCCATTTTAAGTTCTGCTGTATGGCAGCTTTTAGAAAGGGTTTTTGGGGAGAGGCTTTTCATGAGGGTTCTCAGCACCTCTGCACCCCTGCCTTCCAGCCTCTGGGGTGCAAAGCAGCTCCCCACTAACTGCCCCAGAGGGGCTTTTCTTGGGCTGGACCCCAGCGTGGAGCGGGTTTGGGGGGGATGGCAACATGGTCAGTGGTCCTTAGATAATTTAATTCTGCACAGAAGATAGAGAATAGGATACAGCTTTTTTTTTTCTTTTTTGTACTTTCTTTTAATATAATCACACACTCCTTGGTGCTGTTTTCATAATGAGGTACTTTAGCTTTCAAGCACGGTGTGGCTTTGGCACAGTTAATACCGTACGTGGTCAGCGATGGTCTTTACCACGGGAGCTGTTGTAACCATGCTTTACACGCCTTCCCACGTGAAGGAAGAAGAGCGATTTTTGCCCCACGTCTAGCATTTCATTCCATTGCCAAGGAGTTTGAGCCGGGAGTGAGGCCCATGCCCAAACCTCTGTGGTCCTTTCGAATTCCAGACGTGCTCTCCCGAGAGCCGGGGCTCCCGCCTCCGAGGCAGCCGGCTGTTCTGATGGAGCTTGCCTCACGTCTGTCTTTTCATTTGGCCCAAAGAAAACGAGACTCGTCTCTGAGAGCGTGCTCCTCTTCCTGGTTCAGATGGACACTTCTGTGGCGAGTTACAAAGCCATCTTGACTTTGTGAATGTCCAGTAAGTTTGGGCACCTGGTAATATTGCTTGATATCATTGTCATCGACACCTGCTGTCTCTGGGGCTCAGTCTGCTGAGAAAGGACATGTTTGTCTGAATTAATCGGAAGGGAGGGGGAAAGGCAGCTGGTCTCAGCGCGCGGCCCTGGACGAGCCACACTTGGCCGCAGCGATCCACCCTCAGCCCCAGGGCCTCTGACACCAGCTGGCCCGGGGCAGGTAGTGAGCACTGGGAGGCGTGCTCATGGTCACCAAGCTGCTCACGGCCACAGCACGTTTAGCACAATTCTACAGCAGTGACATCGACTTCTGCTGAGGCCCTGGGGTTAATTGAAGGGGAGACACTGGTTTTCTTCTACAGCTTTCAACATCACCTAGACATTTTCCTGAGAATTTGATGGGAAAATAGCCATGCCACAGCTCCTTGAAGTGGGAGCCGAGGTCCAGCCAGCCTCAAGGGGTTCGGTCTAGGGAGGAGGCCAGAATCGTGGTGCCGGCCATCCCGTGGGCTGGGTTCTTTGCTCAGCTCCCTTCCAGAAAGCGTGGTGTTTGCAGATGACAGTGAGAACCAGATATGTACCCTAACTTGTGGGAAGGATCATTCACATGACTCAGGGAAGGCCGTCATCCGCCTTTACTCAAAACAGAGCCAGTTGGGAGGTGAGGATCAACAGACACACAGCACTTCACATAGAGTAGATAACCGGCAGGGCCTGCTGTGCGGTGCAGGGAACGCTCCTCTGTGCATGTAGAACTGAATCCTTGTGCTGTAACTAGAAACGGAGACAACACTGTAAATCAAGTAGACTTCAACGAAAAAAAAGACAGAGCCAATATTAGGGATGAGTTCCTATAAAATTAAAATACTGAAAAATATTAGGCATAAGAAAGAGCTCAGAAATCATCTGGTTCAGAAACCGTCCCGGAGGCCTGGGCTTTGGGTGGGCAGGGGCCCGCGTGGCTCCTGGGGCGGCAGGATGGCCAGGCCCCTGCTCCCCGAGCCGGGCGTGTTGGATGCAGTGCTGGGCTGGATGCCGGGGCAGGGAGGGCATCATGTAAGAAGCCCCGGAGCCCCATGCTGACCCTGTGGTTGGAGCCAGGAGACCCCAGGGCTGAGCACCCGCGGCAGAGCTGGGGGTCTTTCCTGTTAGGAGGGGGGCGGGCACCACGTGACCAGTGACAAAGAGCGAGATGCACACAGACAGCAAACCATGCTTCCATCATGGAGCCGAGCTCCTCTCTCCAGGCTGCACTGCTTGAGGCAGGACAGGAGCCCGCCCTCCCAAGGGGCACACCCCCCCAGGAACAAACGCCATTGACTGGATGGGTCAGAGAGACCCAGAGAGGTCAGTGTGTGTCCCGACTCTCTTTCTCACATGCTTTTCAGATACGCAGCTCAGCCTCCCCACTCTTGTTCATCCTTATCTACAAAGTAGGAATAATCACACCATCTTCTAGAAGGTGATGCTGGGCAGTCCACAGACAGCGCTTATTGTAACACCTGGCATTTTATTCACAGCAGACGTTGACTGGAATGAAGTCGGTAACGGGGAAACCACCACGTGAGCGTAAGATCGTCTGCGGACCTGAACCACAGTGACTGCACCACAGCCCCACGGGTTCCAGCCCCGCCGGGGTGTGGTCAGCTCTGGGCCGTCCTGACCCTGCTCAGCATTTCACGCTCCTGGGAGGGGTGGCCAGGCAGCTCCATGGCATCTAAAGCTGAACGCCAGATGCCGTGTCACAGAGGGGCAAGCAGGGCTGACCTGGGGCAGGATGGCTTGGCAAGCCCGGGTCTTTCCTCTTCTGCCCCACAGGCTCTTGAGGCGGGGGGCTGGGGGCTCCCGGAGGCGACTGCGAGTGGGCAGGGGGCCGCAGCTGTCCTGACTCATGGAGGAGCCTGAGGCAGAGTTGGGCCCCTGTCTGGGAGCTGGCGGCTCGTGCTCAGCAAAGGCTCCTAAGAGCCAAGGGTGTGACCCCGGGACTGCCAGCATCGCCAGCTTGCCGGGATGGCTGAGTCCATCCTGTGGTTTCATCTGTAGGTCTGGTGTTTGGTGCTGGAGTGTGCTTGCTAAAGCACAGTGCTGCCCGTGGCGACAGCAGGTGAAGTAGCTTTCAGCTGATAGTAGTTTTCTGCTGACCCCCATCGCCCAGCGCGGGTGGACTCAGCGCCTTCCCCTTGGTCAGCAGGAGCTCTAGGTGGCCTGGGGGCCTCTGGTCTCTGCATGTCTCTGCCGGCGTTCTGGGTGGGGAGCAGCTGGGAGTTGCTCTCACGGGACCTGGGGTGGATTTCTCCAGGCTGTCCTCATGGAAAGGTGGTTTTTGGTAGAGGGGAAGTGGATGAGCAAATCTGGTTGCAGGACAAATGGCCTCTTGTAGGTCTTGGTCTGTGATGAATGGCATGTGTGCTGGGCTCATTTGTGTCCAACTCTTTGGGACCCCATGGACTGTAGCCCACCAGGCTCCTCTGTCTGTGGGATTGTCCAGGCAAGAATACTGGAGCAGGTTGCCATTTCCTTCTCCAGGGTTCTTCCCGACCCAGGGACTGAACCCGTGTCTCTTAGACCTCCTGCACTGGCAGGTGGATTCTTTACCACTGAGCCGCCAGGGAAGCGCCATGAAGGGTGGCTCCTCAGCAGACATCCTCCCACTGGACTGTCCTCCATGTGGCAAGAGACACTGAGGAGGTCTGGAAGGGCAGCTTGGCTGGTGCTGAGGGCTCCCTGTTGCCGTGTTCAGGTTAGCCTGCGTGTTATTCCCAAGAACGAGAAGTGCACCTCTCAGGGCCCCCAGATTCATGCAGCTGCCTCTGCTCCTGAACTCGCCCTGAGCAGCTTCACAGGGAGGGACAGCTGTGAGGAGAGCCAGGTCGTTGCTTGTGAAGACACCCGCTTGGCGGTTTCATTTCATGAAAAGACTCAACTTCCTTTGTGGTCCTGTGATCCGAGAGCATCCTTGGATCCAGGATGCAAGCTGTGAGAAAGTGCCAGCCTGGGGAGGGATGGAATTCAATGGCTGGAGAGCTCGGGGACCGCTTCTTGGTTGACCTCAGCCAGCAGGCCGTTCTCTGCTCCCCTGAGCACCTCGGAGCACTCAGCAGCAAGTCCTTGATGTTGTTCAGGCCGTCAAATGTTTTGCAGGGCATCGTACAGTTTTCAAGCCTTCTCCTTCCAATGGTGTTGATGGGTTAAAGAACCCCTTTGGGTTCAGACTTGTCTTTAACAGCTCGAGCAAATGGCATGGTTATTATTGGTAAGATTCTTCTTCCAGAGTTTAACCTCATTCCTCAAATGCAGCATAGAAAGTTTAAGTGCATTTCCTCTGGTTTTGAGTAAACAAAAATTAGGGGAACGTGGGGCAAAATATACACAGGGGTCTGACTCCTCATTCTCCTGCTGAGTGGTCTGGGTGATGGGACGCATGCCCGTCTTCCTTAGGAGTGAACATCTTCTGCTTCTTTGAAGAACGGAGGTATCACCTTAACTTGCTCAAATGTCTTAGAGTTAAAAGCTACCTCTTGAACCTGCAGTCCTTTAAGATTTACAGAGAAACATGCTACGTCAGGCTCAAGGAGGCTGGCCCCACGTTAAGTCAATACTTGTCTGAAAGCAAACACAGTCTTCGAATACAAGGTCAAAGCGAGAGAATGCCTTCCCCCATTCCTGCCCCCGACCACTCGTCTCCCTCCAGAGACTGCGATGGTGCCCGGCCTACCGCCCCCCTCCCCGCACCAGCCCATGTGGGTCAGATGCGTGTCATAGCAGACACCAGAGTTAATATTAAACCCCAAATTAATAGATTAGATAACTAGTACATGCCTTTAGTGGAATTCATGTTATAGCTGTCTTCCTGCCTCCTTTTACGAGACAGGAAAGTGCAGCACATCGTCGCCCGTGGAGGGTTCTCAGGAGGGGCCTTTGTGTTCCAATTGCCCCCGACTGTCCGGACACGTGTAATCCCCTTGGATTCTGCCCTGTGCCGGCGTCACGAGGGCCCTTCAGGCAGGGCCATTAAAGGGTGCTCCTTGCTGCAAGATTTATGCGAGCTTATGCTAGAACAACAATGATGCAGTGGTATTTGTTTGAAAATGAAAGGATTATATGGTCTTTGTAAAATGAGGAATTTAGTTTTGGGGAGAGGCAGTGAAAGGGTGATTTATTTTTTGTTGATGTTCCTACGAATCCTTTGATATGTCAACTTCTGTCACTGAGTATTAGGACACTTGTAATTTCTTGAATCAACCAAGATGAAATACACACGGTCTCAAATAATTTATGTCAAAAACTCAGCTGCGCGATGTAAGTGCTGGCGCTTATTGTAAGGTTAGGACGGGCTGGGCCGTTTGGTCTTTACAAGCCTGTGGGTCATTACACTTGGCGTTTTAGCGGGAGAAAGCTGCAGTGCTACTCCATGGTGGGAGCTGTGTTTCTCTTACTGGCGGTTCCCAGGGCTTCGTGGACCTTTACTCCATGTCCATGGACCGTTAGATGTGCGGGTGCAGACCACACCCGGGCAAATGAGGAAGCTGTGGCCTGGGAGGGGAGATGGCTTCCCAGAGGTCACCCCGCTGCCCAACTGACCTGGGCCTTAGACTCACATTTCTGGACCCTGGGTTCAAAACCTTGAAAGGAGACTGTGTGTTGACACTCTCAATGGCTTGCTGACAGGTCGTTCTTCCTGCAATAAGTCAACCCACAGCAAAGAGACAAGCTACCTCAAAGTGAAACCCAACCTGGCTCAAATTCCCACTGGTAACAGCACTCAGGTTCCCCTGGGAACTCCATGTGTGTACCTTTTCACGCGTGATGGTGTTAGTTGGCATTTTTCTCTCATTCTTGTTCTTGTCTGGTGCTGTCCTGTAGCAAACTGACTTCAGTGAAGCATGTTATTTGATCAGTTAATAGAAAAATAACCAGTTTAGAATCTGAGGAAGGCGCGGGAGTGCAGAGAGCCTGTGAGGGCAGTGGGTGGTAGGGATGAATTCAGACCTGGCCACGCTGCCTGGTCGCTGTCCCCCGGGACACTGGCCAATCCAGGTTCTGGTCTTCAGTGATGCTCATGAGAGCTGTGCTGGGTCTGGGGGCACATGGTTCTTGGGAAGCGTGGTCTCACACCCTTCCTGACACGGGGAGGCCATCCTCGTGGTGTTCAAGGCCCAGCCTGGTTTTACCCGAAGGTAAAGTGGGGGCCTGGCTCTGTGCTGGGACAGCACCTGTCTCAGAGATGGGTATTCTTGTTGGAAGCGGAAGTTCATTACTGAACCCTCTGGGAATCGGAGACGACAGAGAGCGGGGTCCTGCATTTCCCGCTATTAATTATGCATCGCGATCGGATGGCTTGGTGGAGCTCTGTGAGCACGCGGAGCAGAGAGCCAGGTCCCTTCTCCAACCTGGGAGCAGCAGCTGTGCCGTTTTGTGGCTTCCTGGTGTCTGCTTGCTCCTCTCGGAGTGGAGGGTGCTGGTGGACACACGGAGGGTTAGAGACTAAGTGGGAACGTGGGGTGAACTCTTGAAAATCTATGGCAGCTGAGCCACGGAGGGGGTGTTTTCTCTTTAACTAGGTGTTGGAAATGCTCCCCTTCTGGCCCCCACCCCCTTCATGCAAAGCTGCTTCTCACCCACTGAGCCTCGTTTGTCCTGCAGAGCAAAGTGGAGGTCAGGAGTGTCCGGTCCAGTCTGAGAGGACAGCCGTTGTCAGCAGGAGGAGTCCTTTCCTTCGTATATCTCTCGTGCAAACACACACCCAACTCTCACTCATACGCACACACACACATATACGTATACATTCACACAGACACATTCATACAGACACATGCAGAGACAGACACTCACATATGCATACACTCAGACACATACATAGATGCACAGACACACAGACGTGCACATAGACACAGATGTAGACACATGCAGACTTACACTCACCTGGACACAGACACACACACACACACACACACACACACACAGAGGCACAGACACACACAGAGGTGCACACACAGTCACATACACGTGCCTCTTTCATTTATTTTATATTTTCCCCTGAATCCAGTCATTCTCTGCTCTTCACCTTTTTCTCTCTGGGCTGATGGTGGATAAAATGAAGAAGAAGGTGTTTTTATTTTCCTCTGAGTAAACTGAGACTGTAATTTATTTATAAAAAAGGAATTTCACTAAAAGGAAAAAGAAGGCAAAGAGAAGTTCAGAACGCAGGTGCACGCTGTCTGCCTCTGACAGCGGGTCCTAGGGACACATGTCCCAGACTGTTGCCCGTGGGAAGGCACCTCCGCCCGCCTGCACTGATGTCTGGCCCCTCATCCTGGGGAGGGGGGCGCAGTCTCTGGTTTCCTGGTGAGATCACCCGGCAGGCTTTAAAGCCCCCTCGGGTCTTCACTTGATCTCCAAAGAGCTTGGGGCCCTGTGCGTAGGCCCCTGGGGGGGCAGCCTTTTCCTGGGCTCACCCACCAGGCATCTGCCTGTGGGTTCCTGAGGTCGGCATGGTTCAGACCTTGGGATTCCTACCATTAGCCTCTTTCTTCCCTCTTTGCATTTAAAAAATTCACTCAGAATTTACCGGGAGATTCCCATTTAGAATTAGCTACGTAAAGATGGCATTTTTCCATCTGAGTCTCTTAAAAATCAGCCCAAAGCCTCCAGAAGAATAAGAATTAAAGTGCAAATACCCTCTTTACAATAAAATCGGGAGACGTCTATGAGCCTGAAACACAATATACGAGGGAAGGCTGCCAAGGAGAGAGAAGGTCAGGGAGAGCCCCGGGAGGGAGGGCTCCTAGGGGGGGCACCCAGCTGCAGACCTCCGGATGGCAGACGGAGCCCCACTCCGCAGGGAGGGCCGTAGCCCCTGGGGGAGAGCCAGCAGTCCCTCGTTTGGAAGGAGGGAAGGCCATGGGCTGGGTCCAGTGTGACATGGCGTCTTGGCAACCAGGGAAGGCAGAGTCACCATCAGTAGTGATGGAGTAAGCTATGTTAAAAGAGATACATGTGCGTGTGTCAGTGTGTTGGTGGGGCCGATGGAGAGAAACTCTGTGTCGGGGCAGTCCTGCCCTGCTGCCTTCGATGGCTGGAACGGAGTAGACCTACACAGATTTACTCACGCAAGCAACCCAGAACAGAAGGAGAATTCCCATTTGCTT